TAAGAATTAGCCTACACAATACCCCTCCTCTCACCCCTCTCACTCCCACTCTCTCCCTCTTACTCTCTCAACCCCTCTCACCCCTCTCACTCCCACTCTCTCCCTCTTACTCTCTCAACCCCTCTCACTTACCCTCTCTCCCACTCCACTCACTCCCTCTTACTCTCTCAACCCCTCTCACTTACCCTCTCCTCACTACCACCCCCACTCACCTCACTCTTCAACTCCTCTCACACTTCTCACTCTACCCCACTCACCCCCTCTCACTCTTCGAACCCCCTCCTTGACTACCTCTCACTTCCTCACCCATCCTCTCACTAATGCTCTCCCTGATGACATGACCTTTTGACTGTGGAGACGAGGTCATGAGACGTAGGGGGGAGGAAGATGTAAACAAACCAAACTATCAATCAAACAATGGTAAACAGACACAATGATAAACAAGAGAAACACTGTACAACTTGTGTGGGGGGGGGGACTCAGGTAAACACATTATAAGAGGCTACACTATCTCCTAGGCCCGAGGCTGAAGCACTTCATCCCCAGGCCGCCCTGAGGCTGGGCACCATATCCCAGGCCTCAGAGGCCAAGCACCATCTCCCCAGGCCTCGAGGCCACACCATCTCCCCAGGCCCGAGGCCACCACATCCCCAGGCCCGAGGCCACACTCATCTCCCCAGGCCCGAGGCCACCACACATTCTCCAGCCCGAGGCCAAGCACTATCTCCCAGGCCCGGAGAGGCTACACTATCTCCTGTGGGCCCTCGAGGCTGCCACCATTCCCAGGGCTCCGAGGCGTGACTATCTCCCCAGCCCGAGGCTACACTATCTCCTAGGCCCGAGGAAGAGTGTTGGAACATGACCCATAACTCCGCTCACCAACACCTAATCTCTTCACCACAGTATAAACTTCCATTTAAAGGATATCAATCTAAAGGATATAAGTCCGTTATATAGAAGTTTCACAGCTAACGGACCTCGATATAACGGAATCTACTCTCCTATATTGTCCGTTATATAGAAGTTTCACATCTAACGGACCTCGATATAACGGACTCTACTCACCTATATAATCCGTTAAACAGAAGAAGAGTGTGTGTGTGTGTGTGTGTGTTAGTTTCCTCAGCTAACCTAACCTACCCTAACCTAACCTAACCTACCCTAACCTAACCTACCCTAACCTAACCTAACCTAACCTAACCTAACCTAACCTACCCTAACCTGCCCTAACCTAACCTACCCTACCCTAACCTAACCTAACCTAACCTAACCTACGGAACTTGACCGCCAGACTTCGCTAACATTATCTCTAGTTCAAGGCTTCGGTGCAGCTTGTATGGTGAGTCCGTGAAGCTTGTGTTAATAATGGTGGTTATGGTGCTGTGAAGCCTCTATCAATAATGGTGGTTATGGTGCTGTGAAGCCTCTATCAACAATGGTGGAGCAAGTGGTGTCAGGAAGCTTCTGGAAGGAAGGACAGTGGTTATGTCAGGGAAGCCTCAGTTAAAAGTGGTTATGGTGCTGTGAAGCCTCTATCAATAATGGTGGTTATGGTGCTGTGAAGCCTCTATCAACAATGGTGGTTATGGTGCTGTGAAGCCTCTATCAATAATGGTGGTTATGGTGCTGTGAAGCCTAAATTCACTGCACTGTTATTCTTCCCTGTTCATGGTTATTGTGAAGCCCTGCCTTGTGAGGCTTCCGAGCACACTAAGTAGACTCTGAAACCTCCCTGGTGTGGCGTGAGGCTTCCATGCACTAGTGGATTATTACGAAGCTTCAGGAAAAGAAAGAAAGAAAGAAAGAAAGAAAGGCAACGAAATGAGATAAATAGAGAGAACGAAATATGACACGAACCCACAGAGAGAGAGAGAGAGAGAGAGAGAGAGAGAGAGAGAGAGAGAGAGAGAGAGAGAGAGAGAGAGAGAGAGAGAGAGAGAGAGGAATTGAAAAACAGAATCCAGATCACATTTTTCCACACTACAATCGATAGGTAATAAAGCCATATATCGGGTCTACCATCAGTGTGAAGGGTCGGTTGGTGCAGTAGGCGAGCGACGTTGGGTTAAGTTAAGGGCGACTGTACACTAAGATAAGCAAGAGTTAACGCCTTTATGGTACAATAACCACACAGACTTACGACACCTCTGGCCAGTTACCGCTATCAGGACGCACAGTATCAAGAGAAAATGTCCCAGAATTCACATTATCAAAGGATTTTTTTTCTCCCGTATGTAAAGGTGTGGAGCTTACCTGTGCATCTTACTGAGCCAAGACACGAAGATGGATTCTCGAAGGTTCTTAATACGAGGATTTTTTCCCCCTAACTGGAGACACGACCAGTCGTCTAACGGTACACTGGAGATTAACTCAAAACATCTTAAAATGACATCAAATGTACACAAAGATATGACATCACTGTTTACCTGGCCTAGTGGACGTGGCAGTGTGTTTACCTGGCCTAGTAGACGTGACACAGTGTTTACCTGGCCAAGTAGACGTAGCACCACTGTTTACCTGGCCTAGTATACAACCCTGGTGGTAGACGTGGCACCACTGTCTACCTAACCTAGTAGACGTGGCAACAGTGTCTAATTTCAGTAACGAGCTGGCGAACATAATTAAGTTAGCGCAGGTAATGACGACTGTTACCCATTTTCATGATTTCCACTCAGGCTGCCACCAGTACTTGGAGACTGGACGCTAGCCGGCCGGGCACATTGCTGGGATAATGGTGTAACTGAACTGCCAATTGCCTATGTTGGTAAAGGTGTTTATTTCCAACTGATGGCAGTGGGAAATTAGGTATATATCCAAGAGGTTGAAGCGTTGGAAGTATAGCTAATTTTCAACAGGTGGTGCTGGAGATCAGGTAATTCACACTACCTGAAGCTGGAACAGGATGACAAAGTCCCAACAGCTAGCGCTTGATCAGTGAAAACCCGGCTGTGAGTCCTCCTGAAGCAGCAAGAACCCACCTGCAGCAGCGAGAACCCACCTGAAGCAGCGAGAACCCACCTGAAGCAGCGAAGAGCCACCAGCAGCGAGAAACCCACCTGCAGCAGCTGGAACCCACACCTGCACTTGGGGAGAACCCCTGCAGCAGCAGGGCCACCTGCAGCAGCTAGAACCCACACTGAAGCAGCGAGAACCCACCTGCAGCAGCTGGGGCCCACCTGCAGCAGGGCGCCCACCTGCAGCAGCGAGAACCCACCTGCAGCGAGAGACCCACCTGAAGCAGGAACCCACACCTGCAGCAGAACTACCTGCAGCAGCAAGAACCCTGCCAGGCAGCTGGAACCCACCTGCAGCAGCGAACCCACACCTGCAGCAGCGAGAACCCCACCTGCGGCAGCGGGGGAGCCCACACCTGGGCGGCAGAACCCTGCAGCAGCGAGACCCACCTGCAGCAGCTGGAACCCTGCAGCAGCAGGGAACCACCTGCAGCAGCAGGGAGCCACTGCAGCAGCTAGAACCCACCTGCAGCAGCGAGAACCCACCTGAAGCAGCGAGAACCCACCTGAAGCAGCTAGAACCCACCTGCAGCAGCGAAGAGCCACCAGCAGGAGCGAGGAGCCAGCAATAAAGCAGACAGGAGGCGGGGTGTGACAGCAGGTCCTCAGCTACAACATAAAACTTGCCAGGCGTCAGACCGGCGACCCTTGAAGACACCGCCGGGACCCTCACCAATATTGATACCCAGCCAAGACTATATCGCATTACCTCACCAATATGGCCTCATGAACCCACAATATGGCCGCCAATTCACTCTAACCGGATCAATATGGCCTCATGAACCGACAATATGGCCTCCACTTCACTTTAACCTAACCAATAAGGCCTCCACTTCACTGTAACCTCACCAATATGGCCTCCACTTCACTCTAACCTCACCAATATGGCCTCCACTTCAATTTAACCTAACCAATATGGCCTCCACTTCAATTTAACCTCACCAATATGGCCTCCACTTCACTTTAACCTAACCAATTTGGCCTCCACTTCACTTTAACCTAACCAATATGGCCTCCACTTATAACCAGCTGTTACCACGTCCCTTTCTCTAATTGCCATCGTCTTTTTTGCCGCCTCCTTTCTTTAAGACCCTTCTCATTCTCCTCTCATCTTCCCTTTTATCCTTCTACCTCTATTATTGTCTTTTATTCTCAACCACCTTGTTCTTCCCCCGTTTTCTTGACTAAATGTTTTTTCTTGCTAAATCTCTCTCTCTCTCTCCTCACCCATCCACCTTCCTCATCACCCCATCTTCTTCCTCTTCTTCGTCATCCCATATTCCCCCCTCTTCTTCTCCTCCTCCTTCCATCCTGGCTCCCTGCTCTACCCCCACCAGAGTGTTCTTACCTGTGTCTTCGTCTTTCCTCCTCCTCCCTAATTCCTTGACACCATCCTCCTCCCTCCAACATCTTCCTTTCTTTCCATCCCTACCTCCCTCTCTTTTCCATCCTCCTAACCTGGTACCACCTCCCCTCCCTTTCTTCTCCCCACCTCCTCCTTCTCACCCATCCACACGCCCTCTTCTCTTCCCATCTTGAATCTTTTTTTTTACTTCATTCTCCTTCGTATTCGATTCAACCTACTCATCCCCTTTCACTTTGTTCCTTCTATTTGCGCTTCAACAGTCTTTCTTTCACCTCCAAATGACCAAGACACAGTATCAATCACCCCCCCTCCTCCTCCTCCTTCCTTCTCCTCCTACTTTCCCTCCTTCTCCCTCCCTACTCCCTCCTTCTCCTCTCCCTCCCCTTCAGGCTTCTTCTACAACAACAATTCGTCGTCCTTCGTTTCCTCTCTCCACTTCCTCCCACGTCACCTTATCAATACTTCCTCCTATCTCCCCTTCTTCCTCAGCCTCCCTCCCTCCGTCTCAACCACAACAGCACCACCCCTCCCTTCCCTTTCCCTCCCTCTTACCATTACAACATCACCCCTCCCTCCCTCCCTCAAGGGCCACAGCAGCAGCCCTCAAGCACATGTAAACATTAAGGGCCGGCCACCATCAAGTAAAGCCCCTCGGCAAATCCGGCACCAAAGCCTCGCTCGACCGCAGTGGCAACTTTGCTTTGAGGTTCCCCAGGGTGACCAAATCCGCTTCCGAAGGTGGACTCTGACCCCAGGGGCGCCGCGCCAAGGAACACGTAGAAGGTGGCGCCCCCCTGGGACGACAGACCAAGACCACCAGCCACGGGGATGAAGGAAGAAGACGCCTAGGATGAAGGATATGGAGGAAGACACGTGACACGAGGAGTTGGAGGAGGAGAGACGTCGGCAGAGGAGAGGGAGTGAGGAGGGAGGAGGGAGGAGAGGTGAGGGAGGAGGGAGGAGGTGAGGGGAGGGAGGGAGAGGAGGGAGGAGGAGGTGAGGAGACAAGAGGAGGAGGAACTAAGGTAAGACATGAGGGAAGGAGGGAGGGAGGGGGGGGGGAGGGGAGGGGAGGGGGGAGGAGGAGGGGGGGGGGAGGGGGAGAGGAGGAAACAGAGGATCAAGAAGGAGGAGGAGAGACAACGTCAAAGGTCAGGAAGAGGAAGACAGGAGACGAGAGGAAGAGAAAGTTGAGATGAAGATGAAGAGAAGAACATAAATAGAAAGAAGTGAAGGAGGAGGAGGAGGAGGAGGAGGAGGAGGAGGAGGAGGAGGAGGAGGAGGAGAAAGCCCAAGTTGAAGAAAATGTGAGAACAGAAGATGCGATAAAGTAAAGAAGAAAGAGACAAGAAGAAGAAGAAGGAGGGGAAGAAAGGAAGAAGGAGATGGAAGAGAGGAGGAAGAAACAGAAAGAAGGAATAACACCAAAGACAGGAAGTAGTGAAGAAGAAAAAAGACTCACCTCAAGAGATCAGGAAACTGGTGGAGGAAGATGCCAAGAATGGTGGTGAAAAACTGATGGTGATAGTGGTGGTGGTGTTGATGGTGGTGATAGTGGTGGTGGTGGTGATGAGTGGTGGTGGTGGTGATAGTGGTGGTGATGGTGGTGGTGGTGGTGATAGTGGTGGTGGTGGTGGTGTTGATGGTGGAGGTGTTGATGATGGTGGAGGTGTTGATGGTGTTGATGATGATGGTGGTGGTGGTGGTGGTGGTGGTGGGTGGTGGTGTTGATGGTGGTGGTGTTGATGGTGGTGGAGGTGTTGATGGTGGTGGAGTGTTGATGGTGTTGATGATGGTGTGGTGTGGTGGTGGTGGTGGTGGTGGTGTTGATGGTGGGTGGTGTTGATGGTGGTGGAGGTGTTGATGGTGGTGGAGTGTTGATGGTGTTGATGGTGGTGATGGTGGTGGTGATGATGATGATGATGATGATGATAATGATTGATGATGATGATGAAGATGATGATAATTAAGCCCTAAACAAGGCATTAAACCCCAAAACAAAAAAGGTAAAAAAATAAAAAGATCTCAAAACAAAAAAAAGAACACCTCCAAACAAAAGCAGGCAACCCACAAACCCGGTAGTAAACAGGTACGGTACACACAGGTAACAAGACATAATCACGAGAGGTAAAAAGTCAGACTCACTCACCTGCCGTATGTGACCTGACCCCACACCTTGCCACGACCTATACTGCACTAACTTATGGTGTACAGAAATAACCACTTGAGACAGAATGACATACATGCAAACATACATATACACATACATCCATACATACATACATACAACAACAACTCAGGCCCAAGGGTTGTATGTAAGTAATTCGTTCAATGCGATAATCACCAATTTAAGGAGATAATTGGCATAATAATTCTAGTAATAAATAATACAATGTCTCTATAATCCTTAAATAATTCTAAAGAGGAGATTATTACAGACAAAACTCAGGAGTACAGCGTATGAAATGTCTGTAACCAAGTAGGGAGGGGGAGGAAATGAACAGTGATTATGTATTCTCACTGTATCTGTACGAAACTGTAATGCGATCCTTGAAAATAAACAGTAGTTGATTTTATTGGTGTTTGGCGAGTCAAGATGGCGTATTTAAACTGGTTAATATCAACACAGATAACAGTGATTCTTGTAATATAATAAATTTCAGAATACAGCACATAAACCTCCTGTAACCAGCCTCCTCCTTGTAATTCTCACTGATGTTAATATTTTGTAAACATTTGGTACAGTAGACAAACACCGCCCCCCCCCGCCCCCACCCCCCCACCAAAAAAACACAAATAAATTATAATAAAAATCGGTTAAGATCGACTCAGGTTTATTTATAAAGAACGAGCCATTAAAGGTGTGCCATCATACCTGTCGTTCATTAGTGCCTTCACCTGTCATTAACCTTTTGACCTCCTGGAACCACCTTACCTTCTTGTGAGCAGGTGTCGTCTACATCCTCTCTCTCTCTCTCTAGTTCAGGAGGAGGAGGAGGAGGAAGCGAAGGAGGAGGAAGAAGAGGAAGAGAAAGAGGAGAGGAAGTGAAGGAGGCAGCCAGGGGAAGGGAAGCTGTTGTGTGGGTGATGGCACGACCATTACTCAGGGACGACAGCCTA